AGCACGATCCCGAATGATACCAAGCAGATCACCGAACAAATGACAACAATTAAAATCCATAAAACTTTACCCCAAGATGGTTTCTTTGTCATGTGTCTTTTGCAATCAGATTCTAGGTTTCCATTGCCCACAAACAAGCAATTCCCAGTGAAATTCACAACTCGCTTATTACTAGATAGTGTGTCCAAACAAGAAGGAAGTTTACCCGTAAACCTATTGCTAGAAATATCAACAAACCCTAATTTGTTTCCACAGTTGATTGAATTCGGAAGAGACCCACTTAGCATATTGGATGCTAGATTGAGATAGGTGATGTTTGGCAAAACAAATACAGCAGATGGAGGTGTTCCGATCAGTGAGTTGGATGACAGGTCGAGATGATGAAGGTGGTTAAGTTTTCCAAATTCCGCAGGAATGTTACCCGAAAACGAGTTATTGCTTAAAAGAACTGTAATCACTCCTTTAGGCAACAATGGAAGTTCAGAATCTAGATGATTTTCCCTCAAATCTAGTAAACGTAGATTAGATGAAGTAGTTAAATCGGGTAATTTACCAGAAAGTTGATTGTGTGAAAGAGACAAATCTGTAATTGTTGTGATCTTGGTAATTGAAGAAGGAAAACGACCCGTTAATTTGTTGTTCTTTAAGCTCAAAATGGTAAGATTTGATAAGGAATCGAACCAGTCAGGGATAGATTCATTGAAGAAATTTCCATCTAATGTTAAAGTATGAAGCTTTTGTAATCTTGAAATCTCATTTGGGACAGAACCAAACAAAAAATTTGAACTCATATCCAAGACTTCAAGTGAATGGAGTCTATGGATTTTATCAGAAAGTCTTCCCCAAATTCCCAAGGATACTAAGCTAAGAACCTTCAATGTCGATAATCTAACTAAAGTAACAACAAAAGAATCAATGGAGAAAGAGTCGGATAATGTTTGATTTTGAATTGCAAACCCATGAAAGAGAGTGGCATTTGAAAGCTTATCTTTATCTCCCATGATTTTGATCTGGGTAAGAGAGTTGTTTTCACATCTGATGGTGACATGAAGAGTTGAAGGTAAGTAACAAAAATCACCAGTGTAATTTTCCCAATTGTTTAACTGAATTGGGTACTCCAAATGCTTTCTTAGCTGAAGAAGAAGTTGAAATTGAGTGGCTTCTAATGCGTGGGTGGTTGAGGTCATGAAACCCCATGAAATGAAGAGTATGTGAAAGAAGCAGTACAACATATTAATTTCTTAAGGGAATTCAAGAATCTTGAAACTGAATCAAAATGTAGTGACCCGTTTCATAAAGGAATTCAAAAACACATTCAAGAATCTTGAAATTGGATCATAATTAGCCTAAGAAATGGGGTAAATACATACCCAACACAAAGCATTAAGCATGAATTATGCAAAACGTGTAAAGAAAGAAAGAAATGAAAGGGTGATAAAGTTTTGTTGAATGCAAGGTGTTGAAGGGTCCTTTAGTGAGTAAAAGAAAAAGGGAGAAATGGGTGTTGGAAATAAAAGCAAGAAAAGAGAGAGAGATGAGTAATGGGGGTAGTTGAACGAACACAAAGAAGAAGAAGAAACTGCAAAAGCATTTAGTGGAAAGCTGCTGCCATTGAAGAAGAAGAAGAATAAAAAGAAAGGATTGTATTTGTGGGGGTCGGGTGTGGTTGAGTAACGACGGCATTCGGATCCTGATTTGATTTAAGAATAAGAGGCTGGTTTTGTTTCAAGACAGATACGAAACTCGATATGCACAATCATTGTGTTCTTTGTTCCTGTCTCAAGTGACACGTTTCATTGGATATAGTTATGAGGATTTTGTTCATTATCCGCTACAAACAATCTATGCGTAATTATTTATATAAATGTTAGTTTCTGTATATAGAGTACAATACAAGAAGTATTAGATCTTTTTATTGATATGTTAATTATAACATTATATTTTTACTTTTTTCATGTTACAATACAAAGTAAAAATAGAGTGTCATAAAGCATAATAGTTTAATAAAAAATAATTTTTATTATAAGGTTGCAATAAAAAAATGCTATTATATATGATTATATGAATGAATATTGTTACTATTCGCGTTAACCTTTTTTTATATACAAAAGAGAGTTTTCTTATAGATTTTACAAACTGTAGATCATAATAGCATCCATTATTGTGACCTATTTGAAGCTTGCATGATTTTTCTCCTATTTGTCACACTTGTCATTATTTTATAAATAATCACTTATTTTACTTTTAACGTGACAAGTAAATAGATATCCCTTATTCATCTCAAAATAAGTAGAGTATTTTTAATTCTGATTTAACTAAATTACAAATATAATAAGAAAGATCGATTACAAATTTACTTTACAAAATGATAAATGGTTGGAAAAGTATCAATTATGTTAAAAGTGTTGTATGTAGGGGACCTTATTGAATTCCAAAGGACTGGACTGATATTAGCTTTAAGTATGGGTGACCCGCACACAACAACTTCAATAACTCATACATGAATTGATTATAGTCCTAAAGTATAGGCCAGGGTATAGCCTCTCCTTTATTTTGTTTTGTCCCTTAATATCCGTATATATATTATTATTTTTTTAATATACCGGCTGAAAGATATAGACAACATGTTAAGGGGTGTTATCATATCAAAAATGTGTCACTTATATGTTATGTCACTTATGGTGTTACAACACCAATTGAGGAAATAGACAACATGTTATAATACTTATTATTTTCCATGTCATCAGTTTTATTTTTTCCGATTTATTTTTTTCTATTTTATTTTCGCTTCGTTTCTTATTTATTTCTTTTTTTGATTTTTTAATAATTATAAAAAATAAATATAATATAATAAAACATGTTATTTAATAAATCTTAAAATAAACATAACATTTAAAAACTAAATCCAAACATTACACGAGAAAAAAATACGATAGTCCTGATTTTAAAACAAAAAACAAATAACATTTAAAAATAAATAAAAATACATTTTTTCCCCTAAATTATTCATCTTGGTTACCAACGTACATATAATCTGTCAAGTCTTCTCGAAATTGCTTCCGTTTTCAAGCGTCTTGAATATCAACGACTCTATGTAAATATTCAACTGTCTCTAATTGAAATTGCATGTATCTAGACTCTATAGCTAAATACTCCGCAATATTTCGTCATTTATCTTCAATTATCATGTTATGCATTAGGATACATGCATACATAATATCTCGTAGAGTTTTAACTGATAAGGTCGTGCCGCATGTTCAACTATGTGTCATTTCGACTTTAGAACTCCAAAAGCACATTTCACATCCTTACGTGCTCCCTGTCTTCTCTTGAAAAAATTGTCTCTTGGTTCTATTGGGTGTTGAAACGCCTTCACGAAAATGGAATATGGTGGATATATTCCATCTAATATTCAATCTTGTACGATTACATGTTTGTTTTCCAAGATACGAAACCACTTATATGATATGTAGACCAACAAGAAACAAAAAGCCAAAGTACTTAAGCGACCAACGCTTAAAACTTAAAAAGAAACGAAACTAAACATGACATGTAAAGTAAGAACTGATAAAAAGATTTTAGTAACGATAGACTTGATAATTTCGTATAGGGACTAAGATATGTGTCTTATCGTTTATTATGTGATGTGATTTTTCCTTAGGTCGTCCGGTGTACTCTCAACGGAGAGCCTTCCTTGCCACCTGGAACCAACACCACGGGCGTGCACACCACCCCGTCTGCTTCGTTGTACAACGATCGTGGTCACTCGTTGTCTCGACCACAAACCACCACGACCAATCAAGTATTCTTCTTCTATCTTCCTCTTTCTTCTTCTCTCTCATGCGGGTATCTCTCTTCGCTGTAGAGAGTATACCAGGTTCAAAGTGGAAGGAAGGTGGTGGTGACGTGGAGGTGGATGCAAATCATGGTCGTTGTCGGTATAACAGATGGTCTTATGCTTAAGGGAGGAGGGAGGCATTCTCTCCCAACCCACTAAACCCACTGTCACATCACTTTTTCTCTTTTATTTTTCTTCATCTTTTCCAACCCACAACACACGGAAACCCTATCTTTTTTAACTCACTCAACCCATTTAATTAAAAAAAACACAAAAGAATCAAGGTAAAATTTTAATTAGCAATAGAGTTATAGAGTTACCGCTGGTAACACTCCCACTTCAGCGAGTTGTTTAATTGGTTTCACTAACTCACTTCATCATCTCCCTCTACTTTCTCTCTCTCATTTTCTCTTGTACAATGTGTTTTAAAACTTGTACCTTAGTTATTTTGTATTTTTTTTTAATTGAGTGGGTTGAAAAATATCGGATTTTCGTGTGTTGTGGGTTGGGAAAGATGAAGAAAAAGAGGAGACAAAAAATTGATGTGACAGTGGGTTGGGAGGGAATGACTCCGTCCTCCATAATAACTTAATTACTACTTCCATCTACCTCATAAAACTTATTATCTTCACTTGGGAATATTTTAATTCTAATTATAGTTTCAGCTTTCATGGGCTCTAAACTAGGTACAAACTTATCCAAAATCATTCAATCACAAATTAGATTCACGAGTAGTTTTTTGTATATTACTCAATAATCAAAGCAAAAGCAAGATTTTTTTTAGTAAAACAAGTTTAAATAATTAAATGATTGATTATATAAGCGTAATTCTAAAAAATCTGAATAAAATACTATGAATTTAGTTTTTAAAAAATTAGTTTTGCAATACAAAAAGATTAGCAAACGGTATTTATGTTGAATCTCAGTGTAACGAATTGTTTTCAATGATATATTGATCATACAAATATGATCCAAAAAAAGACAAAGACATTAAGACAAAAGGAGAAAGGGAAAAGAAAAAGAAAAAGCTGATCCCTGTAACGGAAAACTATAGGTTTTGATATATACTTATATAGATTTGGAGACAATATGGGGCTTTATCTTTCCAGGACAGGACAATCATTATTCATAATGTTGACTTGTGAATGAAAAGTGAAAGTGAAGGCGTTGTTTGTAAATTGTAATTAATAAATAATACTCCAATTAATTAGTTTTTAAAGGTGGAGTGGTTAATACAACTTAGGAGTAATTAATAATTAATACAGCATCGATCTATCAACTGTCAACTGAATAAGAATCCAAATACGAAATCACGGATTCAGCCGCTTTGCATCCAGATGATATGGCTTTCCCAACAGAGATCCCTCCTTTGTGGTTACCTGTTAGTTAGTTAGTGGCATTCAACATTTCAACCAACCCACTTTCTTTGATATTATTATTATTATTATTATTATTATTATATTTAAAATATGTATAAATAAATAACAAAGTTACCTGCATAAAAGTATCCAGGTAGCTCTTTTTCCATCTTCTGAATTGCATCCATAACCAAACCATAGTCGTGCCCATACAACGGAAATGCCTTGCTCCAGTAATAGTGTCTGCATTGCAATTCCACTCATGTATCATAAACACAGGTTCAAAGAAACTCATGATAAATTGGTGTGGGTGTAGAAAAACCCTACATCTTAATATGTTAAAACAATAATAATAATAATAATAATAATAATAATAAAACATACGTCAAAAAAATTGGCTCCCCCTCTGCACCAAGCAACTGTCTGAGGTCGGAAGTTACTATCTGCTTCAGCTCATCCCTATCATTACAGTACAGTTACAGTACACACAAAATCAATATACATACATATGTTTTTAAATTATTGCAAGAAAAGAAAGTAGTATACATTGCCCATTATCATCACTACAAACAGTGAACAGATACATCTCATCCAATACCAATATTATTGGATATGGCCTATGGGCATCATTTTAGATATTTAACAAACATTCAAACAATTTTACTATTAAAATACCTCGAGGCTTTGGCCAGTTGTTGATTTCGACTCCCTCCAACAAAAGTGGTATAAAGATACAAGTCTTGAGGGGCACGATCTGGAAACATCATGGAACAAAAAAGAGTGCCTGCATAAATAATACCACACATTTTTTATTTATCTTTATATAATAATAATAATAATAAGAATTATCATTTAATCTTTGGTTACCTAGTGTCTTTAACCCATTTTTCTGCTCCTTGCCAGGAACAAGAACTCCAAATCCTTCAACTGCCCGCTTCACGTTCTCCTTTTTGAACGTCGAAATTACGACCGAAACTGGCATATAACTCACCTGATTTTTTATTTTTTTTTATTTAAAAATCTCAACTAAAAAAAAATCCATTTCTTTCATATATGATATACATACCTCTGGTATGAAATTGAGCAGAAAAGGATTTCCTCTTTTTGTAATCTTCATTTCTTTCACATTGCCAAGTGGAGCCTAATTTCATAAACATGTTATAAAGCTGCTGCAGTCACCTACAGCTTAATAACCAATAAATTGAGTGTTTACTCACTGTCATGATTACAGCATCAAAAGATTGGTGTTTGTTTTCTTCATCTGGACCACAATAAATTGACCAGTTCCCAACTCTTGACCCGTCATCACAGCTATACGACATTTCAAGCACTTTGGATTGGAGATTAAGCTCACCTTCTCCAACCTCTTTACACAGTGCATTCGTGAGTGTCTGTGTAAGAATCAACAAACCATAAATAAATTACCAAGCAGATATCTCACTCATAACTGCATTCCATCTCACCTGCATTCCCCCAAAAAATGAAAAAGAAGCACGTGCACGCCTACGCTTGCTGTTTGAAGGAGGACTCTTTTTCCCACTTCTGGAAGTCAACATGGATTGAACAGCTCCAGAAATGATGGAACCAAACCTATGTGCCATGAACATCAGTATTCATGCATTCAACTGATAGATAGTCTTGGAAGAAAAAAAGAATGAAACATACTTTTTCTCTAGTTCCCATAGCTCAGGAAATGCATGACGCATCTGTGTGGACAAGTCAAGGGAATGTGGTTTTATGTCAAAAGTAGATATATATATATATATATATATATATATATATATATATATCTCCTCAAAAACTTTACAGCAATAGGGATATAGTTACTCACAGAAAGTGATTCGGGATCTGCAGCACTTGTTCCCGCTACAACAGGGTCAATCAGATACTCAACAACCTTACATTATTAAACATTAATAACTATAAGCATGGAGAATCTTTTAAACAACTAAAACAGAAATGAAAACTTTTAAGTTTTTTTCATAATCAGAACAAAAACAGATATACAAATACCTCCTTCCCAAAATGACGCTGAAAGAATCCTGCAACACTGCAAAAGGACATGTTTAACAACTTAAAAGCCTCATTTATAACTACTTCAAGTGGATGAAATGTATGTATATTACCTTTCTTGAGGGTCGGATGTATTTTTCTTCCACAAAATTGGCTCTAAAAGAATTTGGAACTGCAACAAACCCAATAAACTTTATAATCATAAATCTTCAACTTCTGACACGAATCAATAAATAGGATATATAAAGAGTTGTCTTAAATCATTAATTGTGCATCATTAAAAAGATAATATGAGAATGTAGGATCAGAATAACATCTGGCATGCTACTAACACACCTTTGATTGAGTGGAAAGAAAACTGCTTTGGATTAGTGCAATTGGGTTAGAAGGTATCTGCAATCAATCATGAGTTATAGTCACGAATAAAGTATATGAAATCAAGTACAGGTTATAGATATTCATATTTCATAATTCATACCAGTACAGGTTTTCCATTTCTTACAATATAACGCTTGTGCTGTGAAAGTGGCTGCAATAGGAAACATATGGTAGGAGTAGGACTCAGAATATATATACACACATGAACAATGACCTCAATCAAGGTATAAAATGGAAATACTCATTATAACAGACATGTATGACTGCTATTATATATATTCACTTACAAACTGTTGTTTATCTCGAAGCCCAAGATCATCAAGCAAACTGCTGACATCTGCCTCACTTTCAGTCTGTATGATATGAGGTAAAATGTAAGGTAAGCATCACCAATTGCTAAGATTGATATTAATATTGTAGTAAATAAGAGATACATACCATAGTATTGGCACCCTCATCCCAAATCAAACCATCTTGTGAAATGCTTCTTAGTTTCCCTCCTGCTCTCCCATCGGCTTCAAATACAGTCACATTCAATCCGTGTACCTTTAACTTATAGGCAGCAGCAAGCCCACTGAAAAACATAAACTAATTAGTTCATGTTACGATGCGAATTTCACTAATGCTTTTGGTTTCTTAAACCGATTATTACACCGATAAAGATATTGCAATTCAGTAAAAACATCAACAGAATTACTTGATATAGTAAATGAGCAACAGAATTTTCTACATTCAGTATAAATTATCATACCTGACACCGGCACCAACAACGGCAACTCTCTTAGCAGGACCTGTTACAAAATACAAAACCACATGGTTAATTATATATATCCAACTGTTTTCTCAATTATACTTGCAAAGGCGTATACAAGTAGAAAATCGGTATTAAAATGCAATTACAAGAACCCTAACTTTGCTTTTCATCTGTGGTGGGTGAAGCCATTGTTGTTGGTTGGTGTCTCTGTGTCTGTGTCTGTGTCTGTGGGTAAACTCGCCTGGTATTCTGATAACCAATCGGATTAGTACAGTAGATGTTTTTCTCGGTTCGGGTCGCGAGTAAAGTAATTGCGTGCAATCCACTCCACTTCAATTGTGTGCGACTGCGAGTCAGTTTTGTAATGGACTAAATTTTCCTGTAAGCCTGTACTGTTTCTGTTTGTTTTAGACGTGTGGGCTTCTTTGTAATGGGCTAAATTATATCGTACCCATTTGCTTGTTGCATTTATCCCAAAAATAAAAATTTGTAAAATTCACATGCATTTTATTTATTAATTTTTGTGCACAACGCTTAAACCTACATGTTAGTTGTTGACTTGTTTTCCTTAATAACACTTTCTATTCGGTCAAGCCTCAAAACATTGTTTTTTTTTATTAAAAGTTTGTCTTTTTATTTTTCCATATATCCTTTTAATACATATTTGACCATACAAGTATTTTACATTTTACCTTATTCCTTTGTGTTTGTTTTTTCAGTTTTCATTCTTCTACACCTTTTGTTTATTCGTAGCACGCACATGTTATATAATGCTCTCAAACCCTTCGACACACCAAATATCCAATAGTATAGCACAAATGAAGATGTGTAACATATACAAAAAAGTCCAAAACTATCCTTTGCATTGAACACCCTAAATTTATGCTTCGATCCTTAAATTATGTGGAATTTCCTCAAAAGTAACATCAAATATTAGGCAAATAGTGTTCTCAGCTTGATGTAATTTCCTTTTCCTTAGCTTTGCATATATCTTCAGCCGACTTGGTAAACTTTTTAGTCAACTCTTCAACCTGAAAACATGAACAAAAAATCAACCAATATAACCACAATAACTGTAAATTTCAAATTTCTTAATTAGAGTAAATGTATTTATTTAGTGTTACTTCTTTTTCCAATCGTTTTGCATCATCTGATGAGAACCCTGAAACCGTTTTTGCTTTAATATTCTCCTTATCTTTCCCTTTATTTTTCCCTTCTGATTTTTTAGGCAGTGATTTCTTTATCGAGTCAAAAGCCTGTAAAACAAGTATTATCATATATATATTTTTTTAATATATTAGGCACAAAAGGATACATTGTAATAACCAAGATACAACATTTTCCTATACCTTTTGGCGAGCTCTTCTAACTCTTTGTTTGGCATCTTCACAAGACTTTGCTACCACTTTGCACACAGCCTGGAGTAAGTCATAAACATTAATGACACATAAATTGCTAAATCAGTTTTTAAAATACAGGAAATAATCTCACCTGCATATGCTCTTTGGTCATGCTGCTTATTGCAAAGATGAAAAAATATAAATATACATACTATATTAGTAGCCAAGATACAACATAAGTAAAATTTTGAGTTGAGATTTTAGTGTCTTACGGAGGAATAGCTGTAATCAAGCGTTCACCGTCTGGCTTAGGGTTCAAACCCAATGGTGAAGAAACAATGGCTTTCTCTAGTTCTTTCAGGGCCTGGATAATTTAAGTGCACTGTCAGAATACAATGCATTCACTGAATTTAAGTTGTCTTTCATAGTCTAATTGTTCATAATATTGGATATTGGCAACTACATCCTGCAAATGCAGATTAGGTACTAAAAGTAGGGATAGAAACTATTACATTTGGATTATATGGAGTAACTGACAGAGTTTTAGGGTCTAAAACTGAAACAACAGCCATCCGATTCAAAGGCATCTTCACACCACCAGTTTCTACTATGATATGGTCAAGCATTCCTACACACAAATTGGAAAAATAAGGAAAGATAAATAGAGTAATCAGGAGCAAGCTTTTAGCGAAATCAAGAAACTATAAGCACCTGCTGATGCCCTTCCTGTGCGCAATTTGCTGAGTTCATTTGATACTGCATCAATCGCTGCCTCCATCTCAGAGATAGCAGTTGATTTGATAATTGGCCCAATATTCACAATTTCAATTCTGCTGCCAGCATCACCATTAGCAACACCAAGTTCATCGTTGTCATCGTCATCCCCTGAAAGCTTTGTTAAGTGATCGTTCTGTTGGGCTAATGTCGGATTTTCATGCATAGACTGGAAATATAAAGCAACTCTAGAGTTCAATTGTACTCATATACAACCAATCGCTCAGTTCTTTATCGCGATGTAATTCATAATTAGAAAGGGGGAAATTCAGTGAGACCACTCCGTTCGTTTAAACAGTGAAAGGATCGTTTCATTAAACAGTGTGAATTTTACCTTAAACTCGTATTCATTTAAAACAATAATCCATCTTACCCCAGCTTCTGTTTAAATGCGTGTTAGGGGCTTTCTATATTCAAGATAGATTAGAAGAAAAAGATAGAGAATTACATTTCTTCCGTGCTTTTGCAAATGATCTGCGGGATTCGAATAGAAAACCAATCGCCGGCGAACTGGAAAGGTCTGGACGCAGATCACAGGCAGCTCTCAATAAATATGAAGAAGCTGCAAAGTGAGAAACCGGGCGAGATGTTCGGATCAAAGTATAGATGTTGCGACAGGATATGATTGCACGCCTGATTGAAACCGCCATGAGATGGATTCGACGGTTCTTCTTCTCAGATCCTCACCGTCTACACTTCGTATCTGTAGCCTGCTAGGGTTCTACTAAACCCATCTCTCGCAATTTCTTTTGATATTCGCAGGTTAGCAGTTTCACTTTACCCCCTTGTACTTTCACGTCTTTAACTTTTCGTCCCTATCAGTTTCATGCAAGGTACATATAGTAAAATGTCAACGTGTACTCGATTCTCCGCTTAAATGCAAGGGAAAATACCAGCTATCATCATTTGGTATTTCGGATTAAACTGGTTCACCTTCACAAGATTGTGTAATCGAAACAACTTGATCTTCATCAGTAGGAGTAATAAGAGTAGGAACACTCTCCTCCTCCACTCCGGTCATTCATATTAGAAGCACTCTCCCCCTTAACATGATCATTTTAATAAGAAACAATCTCCCCCTCGACATAAACTTCAACATCATTAAGAGGTTCAGTAATTCGTCTTCTTGATTGTAAGTTGCCTTTGCTTCAGAGTCGATAGCACATTCAGGTACGTTAAATAAACAAATAAAATTGTCATCGAACGTCCTAATTTGAGATGTTTGGGAACAGGAAGATGGAAAATTTTCTTTACATGGAGTCACATCTTTTTGTAACGTCCCATTTTCACAACCAAAAATTTTCATTTTATTAAAGTAAAACATCCCAATTATAAATCCATTATTAAGAAAATTGTTTATTCCAAAATTCATTTATTGAAAATCAAAGTAATATAAGAAACGCGGAATCCTCAGTGTTGTTGATGAGTGTGTACAGTCCCGCCTTCGTCTTCCCATGATCACCGATAAAACCTAGAAAAAAAACATAAACAACTAGGTAAGCACAAAGTTTAGTGACTTTTCCCTAAAATACCCCATACGATAAAGATACAAGCATGCATAATGGCCCAGAATCATCAGACTGGAATGCCTAGGCCCAACCAGTTATCGGACTGGAACGCCAACATGCAACGGGTCCAATCAGTCATCGGACTGGAATACCCAGGGTTTGTTGGCCTACTGTCTCAACCCAACCGCTTTTCCCGAAGCCTTCGTGCCTACGGCTTACAACGGGCCTGCACCAGGTGTCTTGGCCTACAGCAAAAAGTAGGATCGCCTCAACCCAATACTTCAATATATCGACATACTAACAATCAAGGATCAAGTAGTTACATAATACAGGTAAACATCACTCACACAGCTTATTACCGCCTACTAGTCCTCTCCCATCACACCGTCCCCCCACCAGCTAACCTCTATGAAATGTGTAACCATAAGTAACCAGAGGCGAGATAGCCACCCAAATAGATGATCCTACTCTAGAGCCACAACCAAACAAGGAACAATCAAGAAAACCTAGATCAAGAGTTCTCATGCAATCTTATATGACTACATACAGCCCTTATGGCACTCCAGTAGATGATAAATAGTCTACTAGCACTCTAACCAGTATACCACTACTATAACATCCTATCATATAAGGATAGAAGGCTTAATTCATGGTTTGAGTCTCATTAAGGCATGCAAGAGCATAAATTTTGCGACTTTATAGCTTAAGACACTTTTTTAAGCTTGGATCTAAGTTTTGGACGTTAAAGCTTAATGGGTTAAGACATTGGGGCATTTTTGGGCTAACTGACCAGTACGTCGGGTGTACTCTTGGGTACGCTGTGCGTACTGGGCAAGTGCCTCGATTTTGGATTGATAGCGTACTAGCCATGTACGCCGTACATATGTAGTCTGTGGGCTTAAGAGGTTTTTGGGCTCAAGTTTTGTTGGGATTTTGCCTTGTATATGTTTGGACCTCAGGCCTACTGGTATTAACATGATATTTTTGGGCTTTAGGCCATTTTGGGAGCTTTTGGGCCACATTGGGCCTTAAGGGCCTTGTAGTTGGGCTTAGAATGCCTTTTTGGACTAGTTTGGATTTGGGCCTTGGTGGGGCAGGCCCAATAAGGCAAGGCTTAAGCAACCCTTTTTGCTTTTAAGTCAAGAGTTAGGATTTGGACCCTCGGGTTAGAATATTGACCTAATTTCTAATTAGGGTTTTATACTTGTGACTTAGGGAGAGGATTTCACAAGTCAGCTGCTGAGTGTGATTTGATACCTTCAGTCTAAGATGAATTTCCTTCACCATATCCGTGGGTCGAAGGCACAAATGTCGGCCCACTAGTTTATGTTGTAGTATGATGATTGTCTTCGTGACAACTGTTAGTTATGCATGTATTTGCTTGATGACTCTGTGATTCTTTTGTTATGATATTACGTGTTAGTGGTAGGGGTGAAATAGACTCGGTACCCAGTTGAAATTAACCGAAAGGGATTGCAAGCACCCATATATGCTTGACTGTATCCGGTTGAAATAGACTTAGGGATGTCAACAGGAGCAAACGGGACGGAGAGTGCATCTCTCGCCCCCGCCCCTGAAATTTCCTCGTTTTCTCGTCCCTACCCCCGCCCCCGAAATGTTCAGCCTTCCTACCCCCGCCCCCGCCCCCGAATCCCCTTTATTAACCCCACCCCCGCCCCCGTTTGATTTGGGTTGTCTTTTTTTGGGCTAAAAGAAGTTGTTATTTAGGGTAAAAGAAGCTATTTGTTAGGTAACAAATAATTATTTATAGCAAAACTTTACATGTTAGAAAATAAAAAAGTTATGACATCTTCACAACATTATACTAACAACTTAAAAACATGTTTTTTGATGAATTTTGGAAGCTCAAAATCATGTTATTGTTTATTATATTTATATAATTAATATATGTAAATATATGTGTAATTTATTAGCGGGGTCCCCATAAGGGTTTCGGGACAGGATTGCCTACCCCCACTCCCGCCCCCGAAATTAAAACGGGGGTTAACCTTGCCCCCGCCCCCGTCCCGCCTCCGATTTTTTTAAAAAAATTCCCCCAAACGGGACGAGGCCCCCACGAGAATGGGGTCCCACATAACTTTTTGACATCCCTAAATAGACTGAAGAGGATTGCAAGCACCCAAATATGTTTGATTGTATCCGATTGAAATAGACTGAAGGGGGATTGCAAACACCCAAATATGCTTGGCTGTATGTTTGTATGGTATGGGGTATTTAGGGGGGCTCACTAAGCTTTGTGCTTACGATTTTCAGTTTATGTTTCAGGTACTTCCAACTTGAAATGGAAGGTCTCGGTCTGATCGCACTGCATCCACCTATGATTTTCTGCATTATGTGATATTGGGAATTTGTACTCTGATAAATTGTTGCTATGATACATTTTCGACTGTTTTGATATGCTTATCGTATATTTTGAATGAATTTAAAAACAAAATTTTTTTTATCTGTATTTTGGGATGTTACATGAAGACTGTCCAACAGTAGATGATTTGAAACATCACCAATGTCTTCATTCACAATTTCTTCATTTGTTTTTTCGGGACACTCCACTATTTTTTTTTCCATTGGTTTGGTGATTTTCTTCAATTTTGGTGTGGAGTCAATCTAAAAAATTAAAATGTTAATTAACGATCGACAACGTAATATTTTATAAATACACCAAATTTAGATTAGATTAATACCACTGTGTACGGCGTCCACTGATACCGTGAAAGACCCTTTGTTCGTTGCTTCCTAACAATAAAAGTGACTGTTTTTTGTGATGTTGAACCACATCCGGCAACGGCTCAACATATTTCCCCATAGTTGTAGGCCCAAATTCCCCCTCCAAACCATGCATAAATGTATCATCATAATTCATCCCCGTACCATGGTAATGTGTTTCTTCCTCATCTTCATTTACCATGTCCTCCCCACCACTAAACCCTATATGTGGTTTATCTTTTTTCTGTAATACATGGTCTACTTTAGAAGTTAAGTCAACCACAGCACCTATTAGATGCTTCGTTAATGTCTTTGTGCTAGTCTCCTACTTCTTTACCGACCTGGTTAATGTGTCGCTTGACATATGACGTCTTTTTTACTTGAGGCTGGTGCGAGGTAGACGCACTTGTGGTTGTTTCAGTCGAAGATGTTTCTGACTTGTACTTCTTTCTTCGAGGAGGCGAGGTAACAATAGGTGGTGGACTTTGTTTTCGTGGGGGGGATTCTACATGGTTAAGAGTCAAATTCACATAGCGAATATAAAACGGCTCCATGATCTCCGTCTTGTTTGCCACGACAACAACAGGCTGTTTGTTAGGTTACAAAATCAGATTGTTAATTTAACATGAAAAAACATCGGAATTTGTAACTATATATAATTATAATATAAAAAACCATACCACAGACACATTGATTATTCGACGACATTAAAGCCAAGATAATGGTGTTTTTCTTCTCCACGACCTCATTCGTAGCAATTCTGTCGGCATGTGAATATAATATTGTCTTGCCTCTGGGAACGTCTCCAAACTCCATATCTATGTAAAAAAAGGGAAGTATGATGCTATTATAATATGAAAATGAAAGTACAACGGTATTATATAATACAAACAGAAGTACGATGCTATTATGGTATAAAAAACGAAATTATGATAACTATTTAAATTTACATTGCAAACTAACCTTAAACGGAAGCATAAAATCGGGAATCATACTTGTGTATTTTCGTCGATTTGGGATTGGCCTGCTTAAATAGTTTAAAATTTTTTATTTTCTTAAATATTCCACGCATCAACCCCGAAGTATAGGTCCATATATATGTACCACATGCAAACCTATAATTTTCAATTTATTTATTATGTGACATCCCCATTTTCACGTCCAGAAAAGACTGATTTGGTTATGCTTTAATTAAAATAAGAATATACTTTGAAAGAAATATGTTGCGGAATTTGTTCCCAAAATTATGATAAAGAATTTATCAAAGCATTTATGAATAAATGTATTTTCATTATATTAAAAACCCCGAGATGTCATTGTCAATACAGATCGAAAGCATAAACAGGAACAACATAGACCTTACAACATCTATTTATTCAAGTGGCCTATAATCCATTGATCTCTCATCTGACCATCACTCATGTGCTCTCTTGCCACTACCTGTATACAAGAAACTGAGTAGGTCAGGCTTGGGAGCCTGGTAAGCACATAGAGTTTTCAAACCCACAATAATTAAGTTTATTAATTTAATCAAATCATTCAACCTGATTACCCCTTCCCGTTATCCTCACCTTACGTCCCTAAAGCATCTATTATAAGGGACCTAGCCTAAGGATTTTCATCGGGGTGACAACACTGCTTAGGGGATTCCTCAACAATACATATTAAATAAGGCAACCATGAGGGGGATGGAGTACATCTAGTGAACATGTAGTTCAAATAAACACCTACAGGTTGCGAGTCTGCCAGCGTTCCACTAGATTATCTAGAATAGTCTGTGGTCGTCATCTATACTCCTCTAGATGACTGGATAATCGTAAACATCGAGGCTTCTCATCATTTTATCACCCATCAACTATTTCATCTACCCATGTTTTACCGAACATTCTGGTAGATATAAAATACATATACAGTTTAAATCATTTAAAACATATATAACTCGTTCATCCGTCATAGATATCAAGAACACATATAATACGCACACATAACACGTAATTTATATTAAATACTTCATATATATGTGTAAGATGAAAGTAACTATGCACTCACTTGTTAAAGTGGTGATTCCAACTTCGACAACGCTTCGCTTCTTAACAATATAGTTTCCTTCAACGAAACCTAGTATTATTACCACTAGATTTTAGTCTAATATTTATCACGACTATTTACGAGCGATATTGTTTTATAAGTGTTAAACAATACTTTTCAACCACTATGTACAAGCAGGGGTCAAACATGAAACACCGGAAGGCAGGACCATTTTGGCATTATAGCACTTCTGAAATCCAACAACCTTATGCGGCCCTTCAAACCAGATTCCCCGTACCGCGAGTACTTAAAAGATATTATAATAACACTTTGTATATTATATATATATATATATATATATATATATATATATATATATATATATATATATAGTTTATAAGTTCACAATAACGATAATAAATTTAAACCTAAGCTATACTTAAAGTAAGGTAAGCATAATTTACTAACCGGGAGGTTTGGTTAGAAACCGGGCTCTGCGGGGGCAGAACTTGCGAGTCGAAAAGCTCTTTTTCTCGGAGCTTTCTGGCGATCCAGGGCTTTCTTCTAAAACTTAGAAGTTTTAGAGGTTGGGGAGGTTTAGAGAGAGGTTAGAGAGAGAATGGTGATGGTGTGAAGAATGAAGGCAACCCTCGCATCCTTTATATAGGCACCGGGTCCTCGGTTACGTAGGGCATACCTCGGATGTACGTTGTGCGTACCAGGTACGCTGTGCGTACGAGGGGGGCATGTGTCACTGATCCGAAGCGAGGCCGTGGGGAGCAAGCAAAGGCCAAGATTTTGCCACGTCACCCATCCTCGCAACAGCTCATCCCGACTTCTAAATTCCGTAACTTTCGCATACAAGCTCCGTTTTTGACGTTCTTTATATCCACGCACAGGTGGAGACGTACTCTACAACTTTCGTTTAGACTTTGTCGGCTAATTTTGACTTTATTTTTAAAGTTATATTTTAACAGGCCTAGATAGGTAAAGTCCATTAAAAATTCATAACTTTGTCATCCGACGTCCGTTTTCGTCTGTCTTTTTATTGTTGAGCTCCTATTAATAAGATCTTCGATTCTCGTTTAGGTTGTGTCAGCTAAAAATCGGTCGATCTAATATTCGAATTCCGGACTGCATATTGTTATGTCAAATCTTAGAAAAAATCATAACTTCCTCATACGAAGTCAGATTTGGACGTTCTTTTGATGCACACTCTTGGTTTAACGCATACTACGACCTTCGTTTAGATTGCTAAGGATAAAAAGTACTTTATCATAAACTCGTTTTTTACGTCACATGACGTCGTGTTGGTTTTGTCGCGAAACTTCGACAGGTCATAACTTCTTCGTTATAACTCGGATCTCGGCGTTCTTTATATCTTCGGAATCCTTGTCACGACCACTATGACTTTATTCATAGATAATAGGTTTATCTATTATTTTATTTTTGACGCTTATTTTCACTCTTAATTTATTATATATTATAAATAAGTATAATGCGCATAAATTCACATAATTCACATAATATTCAAGTAATTCCTCTTTATTACTTCAAAATATGTTACAATTGTTGACCCTAACTATTACATCATTACACTAATGCATAGCCTAGAAACACGGGCGTTACAATTCTCTCCTCCTAAGGATGATTCCGTCCCGGAATCATGCATCAGCAAACAGATGTGGATGGCGACTCATCATGTCACTCTCTGTTTCCCAGGTGAGGTTTGGCCCATTCGTATGTTTCCATCTATTGTGATATTTCGGAGATGGTTTGATTGAGGTCGTTGATGGGTTCTATGCAGAATTCTTATCCTGATATCACAGTGCGAAAGAGAAAGATGATCGTTAGTTAACGTTCGGGAGGAATTCCCGGGACGAAGCTCCGACGATCAAGTTAGAACGAGATCTGAGAGAAGTAAGAGTAAATCACAGGAAAAAGAGTTATCCCCTTCTTCGTGAGGAAGAAGGATCCTTTTATACATGTTTGAGAGGTGTGTGCCCCTCAACTGATTTTGTTGAGCATTCCTTCGTGAGGTGCGACGTGGCGGATCTATATTGGAGGATCCTCCGTCACGTATTTTTGCCTCATCCCCTCATTAGCTAGAGGGAAATCTTTTGATATTATGATGACCGTGGCTATCGTCAGATGGACAAGTGGAACACTCTGATTTGTCCCACGTTTTCCAGGGTGTTATTCCTTGGAGAAAAAAAATATGTATCTTTTTAAATGCGTGTTAGGGGTTTTCATATTCAAGGTAGATTGGAAGAATAAGATAGAGAATTACATTTCTTCCGTGCTTTAGCAAATGATCTGCGGGATTCGAATAGAAAACCAATCGCCGACGAACTGGAAACGTCTGGACGCAGATCACGAACACCTCTCAAGAAATATGAAGAAGCTGCAAAGTGAGAAACTGGGCAAGATGTTCGAATCAATGAATAGATGTTGCGAAAGGATATGATTGCACGCTTGATTGAAACCGCCATGAGCTGGATTTGACGGTTCTTCTTCTCAGATCTTCATCGTCTACACTTCGTATCCTTCACCTACTAGGGTTCTACTAAACCCATCCTCTCCTAATTTCTTTTGATATTTGCAGGTTAGCAGTTTCACTTTAACCCCTTGTACTTTCACGTCTTTACCTTTTAGTCCATATCAATTTCATGAAAATTACATAGAGCGTGTTTGGCAAAAGTAGTTGTTAGCGGGAAGCAGGTGGCGGGTAGTTGGTAGTTGGTAGCTGGTAGTGGGTAGTGTGTAGCGTGTAGCTGGTAGCGGGAAACTGTAGCTTTTATTTGTTATATGCGTGTTTGACAAAAGTAGTTAAAAGCTTTTGAAATATATAAATTACATAAAATGACAATCGATTAAAATTAAATAAATATATAAATATGTTTTTAAGGATAATTATAGAAATTGATTTCAAAAGCTCAGTAGTGTTTTGTTAAACGTTACGGGTGTGTTCGGCACGGAGCATTTGAGAGCTTCTAACTTCTAGCTTCTAGCGTTTGACAAAACGCTCCATTTTGAACAAAAAGTCTCGTTCGGCACTACAAACTTCTAGCGTTTAGTTTAAACAAAACGCTCCAAATCCAAATGCTACTTCATGCAGCGTTTAACAAAACGCTACAAGCTACAAGCTACCCACTACCCGCTACCAGTTAATTTTGCCGAACACGCCCTACATGAAGTAGCTTTTTGGTCTGGAGCGTTTTGTTTAAACTAAAAGCTAAACGCCCGTACTGTCAAACGAAGCTTTTTGTTTAAACTAGAGCGTTTTGTCAAAAGCTAAAAGCTAGAAGCTCCCAAATACTTTCAGAAACTCCGTGCCAAACACACCCATAGAGTAAAATGTCACTGTCTACTCGATTCTCCTGTTAAAACACAAAGCAAAATACTAGCAAATTACTTTTTTTTAGATCTTAAATAAAGCATCTTTTTGACGGGGATGAAAACCCAAGATTTATTAAATCTGATTAGATTAAATCGGTTGTATTACATTTGATTCTTTTTCAGGATTTTTGAAAATCGATTTTTTTGTTCTACACTTTTTAAAAGTCAGTTCTTGCTCCCCTTATATTTGTAATCAATTTATGTTTTAATTTAAGCCAAACCGTTCAAATCGATATGATATTCAGTTATGTTGTTTTTGTTGTTTATTATACCGTCGCATGTAAATTAAAAGAAAATATCATACATACTTATAAAGCTAGCATTTTTTCTTGAATCTCATGCATTTGAAACCCTCATTTTTTAACTTTCTCAAACCACATTCATTTGAA